ATTTTTCAAAATAAAGAACATGAAAATGCATATACAATTGTGCATGGCATATATGAATGAGACAACATGCTTGAATGAGACAACATGATTAAACATAAACCAAAATAATCCATGGGAGGAGAAAAGAAAGAAATTAATCCAAAAAACCAACATATGTCCACAAGCCACCAAGCACTAGAGGAGGAGCAAGAAAAGATATTACTGAATATAGATGGGTGCAAATTCCCACAAATGACCCAATTCAACCTTTCAATGCCAATTTCCTCCAAGTCTATGCCTTGTATGCCACATGCTAGGAAAGAGGAGTCAAATTTCCTTGATTCTTGATCCAATACCAATGCATAAGAGTATATCAAGTCATGTACCTAGAAAAAGACACACAAACATTTCCATGAGAGAAAATCTATACTAAAAAGAAAAGAAAATGAAAGCAATAAAACACGGGTTACTTCCCGAGAAAGGCTTGCTTAAGGTCCAAGCTCGACCCCTCTAGTAAATAATATTGCAACAAACGCAAGAGCTTGTCAAATGCACTACTACACATCTCGTAAGGTATTAAGTAAGCACATGACGGGAAGAGGGTGTGCAACAAGGATAGTGCATGCAAAGGAGGTGAGAGATATTGAGAAAAAGAAGAAAAATCAAAAGAAAATTCAACAAAATAAGAAGAAGAAGAAGAAGAAGAAGAAGAAGAAGAAGAAGAAGAAGAAGGCAAACTCTCCTTAAAATGTTTTTGGGTGGCAAAATCACCCTTTTCTTCAATAATTTATGAGTGGAGAACATGAAAAACATCAAAGACCAAAGGATCCCAATAGGCTCATTAACAAAAGAAGGGAGGGACATAGGATAGGAGGGGATATGGTTAAATTTCCTTGAAAAAGGGACATGAGAAGAAGGGATAGGAGCAATGGTCTCACAAATGATCTCTTCTTTTCCACCATTCCTCTCATCTCTAATAAGAGCATAAAAATTAATCATTGAATCCTCAAAAGAAGGACACTCATGATCTCCATCTCCCTAAAACATCCAACTTCCAAGAGAAATTACATCATCCTCTCCATCACAATAATGAACAATAACTCCCTTAATATTCTTAAAGCCCAAAGTCTTAAAACCATGCATGAATGGATGTAAATTCATTTCAAACTCATCTCTCTCCCATGAAGCATCCTCAATGAACTCACTCAAAAGGCTATGATTTTTCATTTGACACTCAAAGAACACATTGGACATAACCTCAAATGAGTCCAAATACTCATGGATAGAAGAATCACAATCACGCACTTGAGACTCATTAAGATGGGAGAGGTGGTTGAGATTTTCAAAATTAACACTCTCTTCATTCTCAACTCCTTCACTATCACTCAAATGCTCACTAATGGGATCCTCACACACCCTAGGTTGCTCAAAATCATCATAATCATCATCCTCAACACACATTAGGTTTGAAATTTTCACAAACAAGCATCAAAGATGACAATTGACTTTCTAACTTTTCTTTTCTTTTCAATTCTTCCTTAATAAGCTCCTCACACTCTCTAATCATCTCCAATTGTCTCCTAAAAGTTTCCATCATTTTTCTCTCAAATGGCCTAAGATTAGGATTCATCTCCAATTCCCTCAAAGATTCATCAATTTGGCTATATGGGACTAGAGACTCGTCATAAGAGTTTAGAGAATGAGAAGGTGAAGAGGGTTGAGGATCAAGAGTAAAAGAAGAGTCACAACCAATGGTAGGATCATCAACATTATAAACATGAGCATTTTCATCAAATTGGGGAGAGGGGTCACAATCAAACACATGAGGTTCGTTATTGAGAGAACAAAGTACATCACAAGAAGGCATGCTAAATAATGAAGAATATTGAAACCCACCATTAACATCAACTTGGGCATGTACCTCGTCATCATGAGCAATAGGGGAAATAGAGTTGAAATCATTCATTCTAGGTTCACTAATGGGATCATGTGACAAATCATGGGAATTCATGTTAACATTCGAAGAATCAACAACACATTGCATCAATATTAGTAAAATGATTACCTCTACTATAAACATCCCAAGCAAACCAAACATAAAAATCCCAAGCATCATCAATTGACAATGCTCTAAATTCACCATTATGCATGCATTCAACTTCATCCCTAGTTTGCTTATTCAAACCAAAATAACAAATCTCACAAGATTCCAAAAGACTATAACAATTATAGTCCAAAAATCCCTCAAGTCTATTGAAATATTCACAAAAAGGCTCATTTTCAAATTGAGGAAATGGGAAACATGCCATTTTTTTTAATCAAAACAAACAAAAATAATAAAAAAAAGTATATATTATAACCTAGACTCAAGAAATCAAAAACACTCAAACATAGACACTGTTCCCCGACAATGACGCCATTTTGACGTAGGGAAAACTAGGTCATTCACTAATCCTCCCTAAAGCCAAACAAATTTATAATCACTTAACAAACCTAAATACAAGTATAGAGGTAAGTCAAGGGTCGAATCACTAGGAACGGTGGAACGGTTATGCTCAAGTGCTTTCAATTAACGCCTAAGCTAGGTCGAAATGGAAGGTTGAAGAGGTAACACTATTCAACTACCAATACAAAGAATCAAACAAATGAAATACTAGAGAATGGGGATCGGATCAACAAGTAATCATGACAATTGCAACAACTTGGAAAGGTCAAGTTAATCAATGGTTGTGAAGACTAATGATAAGAGTTATCAATCAGAATCAAAGAGCTATCTCCTAATCGTTAAGCTAGGTTTCCTCTATGAATAACAAACACTACTAGAAAAACATTTATTTGCAGCGGTTAAAAATCATTAATTTGCTGCGTTTTTGAGGTGGGAGCAAACGCCAGCGCAACAAATCAATTGATTGATTTGCTGCGTTGTCAACCGCTGCAAATCAATGTATTTATTTACAGCGATGATCTATTTTAACTTGCGAAACTATATTCCACCAATAAAATAATGAATGATTTGTTCCGCTTTATGTGTAACACCCGCTGTTAATTGATAGTATTTTTTTTTTTTTTTTTTGTAAATACTATTATTTGGTAATAAATAATGAATGAAACAAAATTTCGGCATCACCTCCACTGTTTTTACGTGTAATGTACTCATGAAGGACCTGTATTCCTGAACTTTATGAACAAAATACTTTAATTAGCCCAAATTAGATTATCACAATATATATGATAAAATGTACGATTCAATTTTGTACGTACATATATCAATCCAAAACAAAACACAAAATATTATTAAACAACTATGATCACACGCATAATTAGTGAAATATGAGGCCCATATGTTCCGCACTTCTTCAATATCACCATCAGTGTAAGGATCTTCATTTAAAGACGTGCAAACCTATGAACATGATATAATATATATAGTAAGTCATCAAAGTAATTTAAAAAATAATAATAATAATAATCTTCACTTATATACTTCACTTATAAAAAATAATGGCATTTAGACAACAATTGACTCACATAGGTTCAAAAGTGGTCAAAAGACTATGTGTTGCTTCTAGCTTTTATTTTACACCGTCAATTGGTGTGAATAAGGTTGTATATAGATGAAAGAGTCATTTTTAATACATTAGGACTAAAAAGAACCTTATATGACAAATTGTGAACCATTTGGGTAGTGTTATGCTTAAATAGGTTCAAAAGGGGCCAAAATGGACAACAATTGACTCTAATAGGTTTAAAGTGGTGAAAAGACCAAGTTTTGGTTCCAACTTTAATTTAATACCTTTAATTGGTGTAAATAAGGATATATATGAATGAAAGAGTCATTTTCAAGATATTAGGACTAAAAAGAACCTTATTTGACAAAGAATCATTTGGACAATATTTGAGTCAAACAAGTTTACAAGCGGCAAAATGACCATGTTTTGGTTCAAGTGTAATTTTATACCTTTAATTGGTGTGAATAAAGTTATGTATGAATAAAAGATTCATTTTGAAGACATTATTAATGATAAGAATGAAAGGCCATACTCGTACCTCATCAATATCATTTGCTTCACCGTATTTGGAGAGTATGTCATACATGTATCTCATTATGTAAAAGCCACACTCGGTACCACCTCTTTGTTGAGCACACTAAGTAAAATTCAAGAAAAAAAACAGATTAAGGTATATAATTGTTTTAAGGGTACCAAAATAGATTCCATACGATATCATCTAAAACATATTATTTACTTACCTTCACGAGTTTCCATAGAGAATCTTTTCTATTCACACGGTTTCCATTTAGCTTATACCTCGTGAAAAAAACTATTCATTTTCATTACAAAGGTAGAATTATAAGTATATTACTCGTTGTAAATGTCTTACATATAATGTATATATAGAAACAAGAAACAATAAAATAGACTTACAAGCTCACAATAGTCTTCATTTTACGTTTCTCCTTATTGTTGGGCGAGCTGAGTCAAATTGATAAATAGTGCAAGTAGGTACACAAATTACCAAAAGCATCCAATGTTCCATACGCCAAAAGTTAAGAATGTTAAATTCATCACATGTATGTATACTTAAGTGGTACATAATATGGAATTTTGTTACTACTTACTCTTGAAAAATTAGTGCCATAATGAATTTTGCTCCATTTTCAACTGATTTGCTTACTGCTTTGAAGACATACTCATGAATTTCATGTAAGCTCTTACGAATTTTGGTTTCACAAGTTTGCTCTAGACACAACCACCCAACCACAAAAACTTTGTCATTTGCTTTCAAATCTTGTTGAAGTAACTTGGATATATAAAATCAACTTAATAATATGATAATAAGTTGGTGCATATAAACGCAAAAAATGTAATCACTATGCCACAATTCTGCTTATTACCTCATGAATACTTGAATAATTGATATGTTTAGCTCCACTCCTCTTAAGAACTGAAGGGAATCCCCCTTACTTACCCATGCAATCCCATCTTCTTCAAAATGGAATACATTGTGATCTAATGTTATAGCAATGGGTGCCTCATTTGGCAAGGACTCCAAGAATGTTGACAGCCACTCACAATCTAGGCTAAGGGAATCCATCAACATTTGGAGGAACAAGTACGGTTCTCTAGGTGGCCTCTCTAGAGTGTAAGTCATTGCTTGCGATCTCTGGTGACAAAGGCTTGAGTTTCTTTGGTTGGAGTGATTCCTAAAATGTGTCATGTAAAATAATTTAGTTAATTTAATAAGGGTTTGAAGATGTTGATATGTAAAATAATTTCAGCTTTCAATTAGTTAATATATATTAAGGGTCTAAAGACATAATTAGTCCATAACATTTAGCTTTCAGCAATCACATAGCAGTATGCAAATAATGGATTTTTATTGTAAAAATTAAAAGTATGTAAGACATGAAATCTTACCTCGGTCTGGAATTTTATCAATGCTAAAGGCCAATGTACATATGTATTAATCCCATTTTGTAACACTTCGATCTTAAACGTCGGGATGGGAACGGGAAGTGGCAGGCCATAAAACTCCTCATGTATAGTATGAACTTCCACCTTCACATGACCAGGTAAGATGGCCATAAGATGAACCAACTCATTCTGAACAGTTGGATATGTAGTAGCATTCCCCACGTCATATATTTATAACGTTTAAGGATCCTTTATAAGTAGATTACATAAAGTCTTACCCTACAATTTATTTAAACATAGTAAGTCAATTTCTACCTAAAATCAAGAATGTTGAGTATTAAGTTCATTGCAAAAGTATTACATCAACATGTAATTAATAGTTACCTGTAGCTCAAGTGGCAGAAGGTCGTTCTGGTTTGATGGCGAAGTAGAAGGCACACTAGTACATGTATCTTGCCTTAGTTTATAGGTAGCATCATTAAGCAACTTAAAACCCATGTATAGCAAGAATGAAGACATTTTGTCCCTTATGGTTGCATTAAACTCCTCTTTCAACTCTTGACGAAGTTCATTTTTCAGAGCTTCTCGTTCTTCATTTGAAGTTCTAGTTTGGCTACACTTGGTCCTTCTTGCTTCCTTGCCAAATGCCTTTTTGATGCCAACATTAACTCCTCCAAAACCTCTTGCACGACCTGAATGATCTGGCTTCTGCCCAAAAGCAATGAATAATGCATCCTTGTTTTGGTGTGGAGTAAATTCGCCTTTCTCTTGCTTCTCTCTATAGTTAAGCTATTTAATTTATCAATTACTATAAGCCAAATAATTAATTGGTTTTTTTTTATAGCTTGATAATAATTATACTTACATATGCTTCAACAACTTCCTTAGTTTTGGAATTCGGGATGTATCTTTTTCCAGTCGCCTTGTCCTTCCTATGCATTGCAAATTACCAATCATCACCTCGATTTATTTCAATGGTAATTTCTTTGGTTTTTAACTTGCATGATTTTGACGATGTGGTTTTACGAGACGGGTAAAAACCCTCCTCAATCCAAATTTTTCTGCTTTCCTCATAGTTTCTTTGCCCCATACCATGGTGATGATTATTCATACTCGCACTCTTCTAGGCCTTTTCTCGCTTTGCCTAATCATATGACATTTATTTTGGTTAATTTCAATATATTATCAATTAAATTGCCAAATAAAGAATGAAATTACCTTTGCTTCATCAGATGTTTTTGTTTTTTTAAAATAGTTTCCAATCTTCTTCTTTTATGTGTCTGTACAGTTGGTATGGCTCACGACCTTCCTCTTGTTTGGACTTTTTTCGCATGAAATTATCCATCCAGACACTAGTTTAGCTTTAAAATCTCCAAATCTCTTAGCTACTACACTAAAAAACACCTTTTTTTTCTCTCTAGATCATCAGGTATATGGAATTGGGCCTGTTAAGAAAAATAATACAATTACTGAAACACATCATGTAATAATTTACATAAATTTATACACATTAGCACTCATCATGCTAAATTTGCAATACAATAGCAGCACCATTTGCATGATTCAGAGGTAAAAATAATAAATGTCAGATAACTTGTTAATAAATGGTGATAGCTTTTGATTTAGAATTACCCGAGTCTCTCGCCACAAAGTTTTCTTTAAGCCTTCACTAACAGTAGTACACCATTCCCAATTGACGTTTACCTTGCATATACACAAGCCAAGCTGTTGACCATACTTAAACCTCCATTTTCTAGTTGGACACAATAACTGAACAAATTCAAGCTGCATGGGTTCATTCATTCACTCTTATACCTCTAGTCGAACATCTTCCTTTACTAGTGCCACGACCTCTTCCTGTGCGCATCCCTTTCTTAGCATTTGTCACATCTTGATGAGTAGTATTTGCAACAGTAGAAGGTGTTGCACTTGTCATAACGTCATCATTGAGAGAAGCCGTATCAACCATCCTTTCATAATCATCAAACATTTGCTCTAATTTATCATTAGAAATGTCCTCTGGTTCACCCTTATCAACCTATAATTCAACATCATACCAGGGTCACTCTCAAGTTTATCAGTTAACTCTTCGTCATCGACTTCCATATCATCATCAAATTCAGCATTACAAGCCATGATCCTTTACTTACAAGTGTACAAAAATAATCAGAAACACCTCACAACACCTGAGTATTATAAAAGTCAACATATAGGTAACCAAAAAAAAGGAAGTAAGAAACTAGAAAACAGGAAATGATATTTTAGGGACTTGTTACTGTCAGACCTACATATCTCAACAATATAAAGAGGATAGTAAGCTCATACCCTAAAACATATGATGTGCTTGAAACTAACTCATCAGGATTAGTGTTAAGAATAAAATAAAATAAAAAAGCACTAAAACTGGTAGAGAAGTAAGATAATCCAAGTGCAGAGGTCTTCTACACTAATGTGAAATACATAGTATCTGAAGTACACAATAACTTCAATACAGAAACAATCAGAACTGTCACTGGCACTAAAATACACAAAATATCAACTGAAGTAATAATACTGGATGATCAACAGGAACTGATCATTAAGGTTCTTCGACAGTAATGCCTTTTGGTGATCTACGCGCATATAATTGGTGTCAACATCAAATCCTTCTAGCACATTACAATCTGGAATAGAGAATGGTGGCGTGTCATCAAACTTATCATACTCTTCTTCATCATCGACATCACCTATCCCAAGAATGTATCTCTTCCTTTGAACAACAACATACCATTCCTTATCAACGATGTCCCTTACGTAGAACACGTGTTTAGCTTGTGATGCTAATATAAATGGCTCTGCAGTGTCACGGAAATGACTCTTATTAACTGAAGTGTAATTTAATGATCCATCCTTTTTCATACCACGTCACCCTTTATCAGACCACTTGCATTGAAATAGTGAAACTTTGAATTCTGTGTAATCAAGCTCCTAAATTTCCTAAATTACTCCATATTATGATAAGGTCGCATCAATTGGGGACTTGTCCTTGGCACTTGCAAATTCTCTAGAAGAAGCAACAACCGTAACACCACTATTTTGTACGGTCCTTGATTTTTTATCTTGACGTTCAGTGTAGAAACTATATCCATTGATGTCATACCCTTCATAAGAGCGTATAGTTTCTTGAGGACCATACGCTAACCATTTGATCGTTTTAGAGACATTGTTTCCTGTTTCAGACAACTCATGCATCACTTCATCACTAAACCAATCAACAAAAAGGCGATTATGTTCTAAAATCAGGGCCCTTTCACCTTTGGAAGGATTTCTTGATCTCAAATGACTCATTTGCTTGTCAAGGTAAGGATGAACCTCCGTAACATGGTGTAACATAAAGAGGTAAGCTTGCATATACTTGTCTGGAGGGGCAAATATATCTTTACCACCAATTGTACCCTTACCTTCAACCTCCCTTCATGTCGAGATTTTGGGAGTCCAACAGGTTGAGCCCTAGACATAAACTCAGCACTGAAGTTACCAACCTCCTCTGCCACCGTCCCTTAAACAATATAAGCTTCCGGTCGAGCTGGATTCCTCACCTTAGGTTGCATGGATCCCATATGCCTTTCAAATGGGTAAGCCCATCTTATAAAACCAGACCACAAAGCTTAATCTCTCGAACGAGATGAATGACCAAATGAAACATTATGTTAAAGAAGGAAGGCGGGAAATACATTTCAAATTGACACAATGTTACGATGACTTCTGATTGCAAACTATCTAACTTTTTCGGATCAAGCACCTTATTTCATATATTGAAAAATGAACAAAGTCGCATGATGGCATCTCTAACATGCTTAGGCAATATCCCACGAATTGCAATCGGCAAGAACACTAGCATCATTTCATGACAATCATGGGATTTCATGCCAACCAATTTCAAATCGGTCTTGGAGACGAGTCTTTTAATGTTGGATGAATTTCCTTTTCTCTTCTCGAGACAATGTATAGCAAGCAGGAGGCAAATATGATGAGGTTCCCTTTCCTTACCTTGCATTTTCCTTAATCACAAGCCATAACTCTGGTTGAATCTTCATTTCCATCATATCTTTGCGAATCTTTACCCCATCTTTTGTCTTGTTTGGAATATTAAACAATCACCGAGAATGGCATCACACACATTCTTTTCTATGTGCATGACATCCAAACAATATCTAACAGTTAAATGTTGCCAATATTCAAGCTTCCAAAACACTGACTCTTTCTTTCAAATGACCTTAGGATCGGTGGCTTTATTCGGTTTTCCAAGCACAGCTTTAATATCGCTAACTCGATCATAAACATATGTTCCCAATAATGGCCTACGAGCTCTCCCCTTTTCTACCTTACTATTAAATTCAGCTTTTTTCTTTCGATAAGGATGCATCCTATCAAGGAACTTTCGAGTAGCTCTATACACATACTTCCTAGAATTTGGCAAATAGGTAGATTCTGTATTGTCTTCACATACTGGACATGCCTTCTTTCCCTTGATCTTATACCCTGATAGATTACCATAAGCTGGAAAGTCATTGATTGTACAAAATAACATAGCTCGCAAGGTAAGAGATTCATTACAATTGAGCATCAAAATCGAGATTCCTTCGTCTCACATTTTTTTCAAATCATCGATGAGTGGAGCAAGGTAGACATCAATATCGTTTTCGGGCTGCTTGGGACCTGATATCAACAAAGACATCATCATATATTTCCGCTTTCTGGTCATGTGTTGTGTTGTGTGCTCAGACTACCAAATGGATTCATTCCATCCGTACAAAGGGCAAGCCTAAGATTCCTGTCTTCTTTGCCAAATTCTGGAAATTGATTGTCAATAAGATCCCATTGTGGAGAATTTGTCGGGTGTCTTAGAAGTCCATCTTTCTTCCTACGATCAGCATGCCACCTTAAATTTTTTGCATCATTCTTTAGTGATAACAATCGCGAAACCTTGGCATTATAGGCATATACCAAAGCACTTTGGTAGGAGGGCCTTTGATTCCCTCCCC